CACACACACACACACACACACACACACACACACACACCACGCCCCCTCCTGTCGGGAACACCCTGGCTGTGGATCTCTGCCTTCAGACGGTGCTGAGGCGCACCGACAGGCTCTCACACGGTTCATGATTTTCGGGCTGACTCCGCAGCCGGCTGTGCTCACCCCCTCCGGACCCTCACCGCCGTGAAAGGCGGGCACACCAGGTAAGACACCGCCGCTCTGCAGGTCAGCCGGCAGCGCTCCGGGACGCTGAAACACCGGCGCGTTGCATACAGCACATATGGTCAGCAGGTGCAGCTTGTTCGCAGTTCCTGATGTTTTATTTGTGCCTTTTCCTTGTTTTGCGGGGACGAAAGAGGAGGGGAGGGGGGTCTCTCCGTCCACCATCACGACCACGACCTCAGAGGACTCAGCACACATCAGTGGGTCCAGACAGCCCCGCTTCTTACCTAAAGTTAGGCGCGTTTGGGCAGGTGCATTGCAGCAGAAAGCTGGTATTTCCCTTCTTGCCTCCGCTGATTTCGACGGTAGATTTACCTGTTCTTTAATTTAATAACCTGTTGAGAATGTGTTGCACTGCTGAACTTGTTCCAGCCGACCGAGGAGCTGTTAAAGATGATGTGAAACATAAATAAAGCGCAAACAATGCGTGTTTAGATCAAGTGATCTGAGCTGGGTTTAATGTGACAAGAAGTGACCGTGTAACAAGGCTGTTTCATCCTATTCTTCTTATAATAAACCGAGTTTTAGCCTAATTAGTGATGACCTTGTCCGCGGAGTCACCAGGATATCCCACCAGGTCTTTTCATGGGGGTTTCACCGTAAAGGTGACAGGCGCACAGCAGTGGCCTCGGGATGCTGCTGAATGTATGGAGGCTAGGCTGGTTGTGTGACACAGTGCTCATTGTACTCTGGCTGCGCTGATAAAGAAACAGGCTGACCTCATTCTGCTGTTCAGAGGTGGGTTTTGCTTCAGATGAGCAGAGGTGCATGTGGGTGATTCAGAAATGAGAAGTTCTTCTTCCATTTGGTGGTTGAAATGTTGTCAGCTGCAGGATGTAAAAAACCTCTGCTCAGCTACCAACAGGAAAACATGATGTATGCAGGATTTATTTATTAATATTTTATGCTTGGTTGGCTTTCTATTCCATCAATTTGGGGCCTCAGCCGGAGAATAAGTAATCATCGGTGACTCAAATGCATATTTGTGTGTTTTTGTTTTGGGATACAAAATGACAGAAAAGTGAGGAAAAAGTGGCAAAAATGATGTTTTCTGATTGCCTTGTTTTGTCTGAATCAACAGCGTAAAAGTGAGCTTTTACTGAAGAATAGTTCATTTTTGCATCAGTGATTTAGGCTCCAGACTGAATTATTTGTTAGTAGATAGTATTTTTTTTTTAAGTGCTAAATAATTTTTGATTTAGAGAGGATGAAGTTGAATACTTTTTGAAATATTCAAGCAACAAGAAATCACCTAATGGTATTTACACAACTGTGGTGAAAAAAAAAAAAACCCTTTTAATTTCTTTCTCGTGTAATCAAAATAACAGTTTTTTCTTTCTTTTTTTTTTTTACTTGTCACTTGTTTGAATTTGCAATATTTGATTTAAAAAAACAACAACTAATATTTGAAGCACAGATTGAAATGAGGAGCAAGTTTGCTCCTTAGGTCAGACATGTGGGCTGATCCATAATTAAATTGTATTTACTTTTCTTATTTGGCCTCAAGTGTTAAATCTTAACAGCCAGTATAATGTGAAAATAGAAAAGGCCAATTCAACTTTCCCAAGTGGCTCTTAGACCTCAGACAGGGTTGGCTGCTGTCCAGAGTGGCTACTTAACACTGACAAAGTAGATTCAGACAAGAACTGGCAACGTTTTCATCTGTCAGCCCCGTCCACTGAGTAGATTTCAACAACACTGCTGAGCTAATGAGCTCATAGATTGCATAATTTTTATTATGAACCCCTAAAAGCCGATGTGAAAGATCCAAAATGTACACTGCTGTTTCCTTCATAAACAACAAGCCATTGCAGTGTAAGAAAGTATCCTGCCGTGCTGTAATTTGTCATACTGACGCTTCCCTATATTGGTTCTGCTCCTCTAAGCAATAGGTGCGGTTATCAGCTGAGGCTGTTGTATCATAGTCTCGAGCAGGGTGCCTCGGTGATGATAACCGAACCTTCATGCAGCACACCCGCTGTGGGGGTTGTGAGGGGAACAAATGGGCAAATAAAGAATGAGAGAAGCAAGCGAATGTAGGGATTCCCTGATTTCTTAACACAAAGGCAGGGGAGCTCATCCAGTAGTGCAGAAAGAATCCCTGGGGATTGCAGTCACACAGCATTAGAGGTCTCCGGGATCTGCCGGCACAGGATAGAGGAGCGTGTGTGTGCATTTGTATGTGTGCACATACATTTGCACGCACATGCATTCTTATGACAGACACTGCAGGCTGTAGCCGAATGTGCCAGACTGATACTTGTGTGCTGCAAATCCAAAACCTCTGCTTAAAGTTTGAGTCAGAGTGTGGCTCTTTGTGTCACTTGAAACAAAACTATTATACCACAAATATGTCATACTTTCTACAAAGTCGTATTTCAAAAAGCAATCTAGACAGCTACACCACCTTTCTGGAGTCTGAGAGCCAAAGTCCTCTGATTTCTTACGCTTCCTTCCATTCTTGTCTGCCTAACCGATTCAGGGTCCTGAGGGAGTGGAGGGAGGGTTTTTGGAGACTATCCCAGCTACCATAGTTTGAATCACGGGGTACACCCTGTACAGGTTGTTAGCCTGTCGCAGAGCTAACACAGAGAGACAGACAACCATTCACACTCACATTCACACCAATGGGATATTTAAAATC